TCTGAAAATAATATAAGCTACCACAAAAAGAATGGAAAACAGCTACAGCTGAGCTTTCTTCCCTCCTGTAATGATAGAAGTTGTCCTGTTACAAAAAGCAGTCCCTCTATTTCTGCAGTATTTTATGCTGTTCTCATAATCTTTCAGATACTGTCTCATTATCTTTATAACTATCCAAGGCCTCAGCAGTGCCTGAACTACAACACCAAATCTGGTGCTCTCTCACCCACCTTAGGGAAGTCAGCCTTTCAATCACCTTCGAAATGCAGAAAATCCTAGACTCTTCCTACAAAGGCTGTTAAAAGACTAAGTACAATGACATACAGAGGCTCCCCAATTTAGAATGAGGTTACATCCTGATAAGCCCACCATCAAAAATGCATTTAGTACACCTAACGTACTTAACAACATAGCTTAGCTGAGCCCACCTTAAACATGCTCAGAACACTTACATTAGCCCACAGTTGGGTAAAATAATCCAACAAAACGCCTGTTTATTAAACTATTGGATATTGTATTTAACTTATTGAATACTGTTGAAAGTTAAAATAAAATGTCTGTATGGGTACCTGAAGTACGGTTTCTACTGAATATGTATCTCTTTTGCACCAGCATAAAGTGAAAAATCATTAAGTTGAACCATTATAAATTGGAGACCATCTGTATTTAAAACTAACAAGCACAGACAGGTATAGTCATGCACTGCATAACAACGTTTTGCTCAACAAGTGACACACAAAAGACAGTGGTCCTGTAAGATTCTATTTTTCCTGTACCTTTTCTATGTTTAGATACACAAATACTTATAATTTTGTTACAACTGCCTACAGTATTCAGTAGAGCAACATGCTATACAGGTTTGCAGCAGCCTAGGAGCAGCGAGCTATACCATAAGCCTAGGTTTGTAGTAGGCTACACCATCTAGATTTGTGTAAGTATACTCTATCATGTTGACACAACAAAATTGTCTGAGTACACATTTCTTAGAACACAGCCTTGTCATTAAGCAACTCAGTAAATATAAGGTATTATTATTAAATTATGACATGTGTCCCCAAACTCACTTTTCTAAATTGTCCTTACATTTTAATTATAAAAAATTTGTTAAATATCATTAAGTGTAGAAAATAAATTAATGAACTTTCCTTCATTTTTAAAAACCTCCACTCTGAGACAGTTTTTTCTACACACACACACACACACACACACACACACACACACTTTTCCCATGACTTCAATTACTTGATAATGTTCTGGTTAGTTTCTTAAATCTCTCAAGAATTTTAAAAGATCTATTATTTCTTGAGCATTTGGAACTGTTTTATTTCTTCCAAAAATAAGAAAAATAAAGAACAATTGAAGATATTCAGAAACATTCATTTAAAGTACAACATAGATTCTAACATGATGTCCCAACTAAGAATAAATTAAAGGCTTGGTATCAAAGACGCTCTATTTTCTTTTTCTAGCCCTAATTAGCAGTACTCTCCTTTCATTCATTCTAGGCTTTTCCCAAAATGTGATCTTCCTGTACTTTCTCTGCTCAAACTGTTCTTTCTACCTAGAGTGTCCCCCAAGCACTGCTCCTAACTCTGTTCAAAGGTTTCATCCAGATAACTGAATGAGTACACCATGATATTCATAAAGATGTTCATTACAGCACACTTTACAAAAATAAAAAGTTGAAAACAAAAATGTCCAGTAACAGGAAACCTTATAGACTATGTACACATGGAATGCTGTGTATCAACAATGATGTATATGTGTATTTATTGATGTGGCATCATCTTAATATATTGTCAACTGAAGCAGATTTCAAAACAATAGTAATAACTAGCCCCATGTTAGAGCAAAAATAAAGCGTGTATCTAATCTAGGCATAGAAAAGTCTGACAGAGTATTTTTTAAAAAGTTAATTGTTAACATTATCACTGGATAGTGATGATACTTATGAGTTTTTTACTTAACAGTTTTTGCATTTCTAAAGTTCCTTCCAATTAGCAATATTAACTTTTATAATTTCATAAAAGGTACTTGATAAAAAGGCATTCATCATTAAATATCTAATCCACATATCATCTATCCCTGAAATCCTCCCTGATCTAGCCCACTCCTCTTGCCACCCAGGTAATTTCTCTTTCTCTTCCATTTTCTGAGCATTTTATAACACCCACCACATTCAGTTTAAAATTAGTTTTGTTTTTTCAGGTTTGATTATCAACTCATAAAGGGCAGTAAGTCTATCTTATTTGTACTGAAATTTATTGTCAAAACCTAGGAGTCCCAGGTATCTAGAGTAAACTACTAAGTTTATTGATAAGAACATAATGCAAGGCTATAAAATTTACACATCTAAAGACAATACACCAGGAGGCTGAGGCAGGAGAATTGCCTGAACCCAGGAGGCGGAGGTTGCGGTGAGCCGAGATCGCGCCATTGCACTCCAGCCTGGGTAACAAGAGCGAAACTCCGTCTCAAAAAAAAAAAAAAAAAAAAAAAAGACTATACACCTAGCAGCTTTTTAATAAAAAATTCACCTATACAAAGGATGTATGGAAACAACATAAGGCCCATTCTGGTAAGAGAGATGATAATATAAATCAGAATGTTATCTCTATAATAAAATTTCTGTATTTTTCCATGTTTGCTTTCAAAGTACCAAAGACACACTTATTTAACTTAAGCCAAAGGTCATTATTTCATAATCTAAAAGCAAGTTTCTCAGATTTTAATCATGAGCTTCCTTTTGAAATGAACACAGATTACTTTTGCAATAATCCACGTCCATCCCCGACTCAGTGGGAACTATAAATACCTTTTGTTTTAAGAGGAAATCAGGGAAATTAATGTTTTACAATTATGTAAGTCTGACTCAAAGAGTTGACACAAGCAAATGTTTTTAAATATCCACGGCATTTTTGTAAGGTTCAATAAAGAATGTGTTTTGGGAACTAGGTGGGTGAGATTTAAAGCAAAACCAACCACCAAAATCTTAGCTGTTACTTAGCAATTTCAGGGTTCAATTGTTCCCTTCTAAAGGGCAAGTTAGAAAACAGAAGAAGTTGCTTCTAGAAGAAACACTGATATGTCTCATCCAGTTCCCTTTTTTTCATCCATTTCACTCTCTAATGTTTTAATCAAGCCAAGGTGAACTTTAAACTGCCCAGGTTTTGTTTTGTTTTTTCTCTCACCGTAGAGGCAATTTGATTTCCATTAAAACTTAATTTTTGAATAAAGCAAAGCTGTGTGCAATGCTTAGTTGGGAGGAATCCTGACTGCTTGTCTCTGCAGTGCCACTACCTGAAGGAATTTAAGATTTGAAGGAATATGGGGAAAGAAGAGAAGGAAATTCAATAGGCAGTGAGCAGACTGATTGCCAAGTATTAGCACTTGGAGTTGAGTTTAACAGCCAGAATAGGCAAGCGATGCCAGGAGTTCGTTATGAAGCTAAGACAACAACTCAAAAAAACTTGTCTAAATTATAAATTGGTTTTGGCATCTATTTTCAATTCCAGAAGCAATATGAGCATGGCGACTTAGGTTACAGCAAGCACTGACTCAAAACCAAACCTTGTTTTTATTAATCAAACGAAACTCTTAGCACCTGGGCTGAGACAAGTAATTAAAGAATTGTGGCTTAGAAATGTCTTCACAACAGGAAACGTACAATTAGTGGTGTGTTAAGAGTCACCTTATACCAGTCCACTAAAACCAATTGTTAAATTCTCAGGATTTTTAGCAAGCTGGTTGATAAACAGCCATTATTAAAAGTTAAATTATATAAATAAAATTAAAATAAATCATACTAAAAACAAAGGTAATAAGTACTCAAAACTCATCACTTCCTAATTATTTTGTCGTTAACCATGCTCTTGAGGTGATTTGCAACTACTGTCTCTGGTTGGTAGAAAACTATATAATGCTGTGCTACTGCGTAACACTTCCCAACCCTGCTTTCAGTGACTTTTTCTGGCAGTTTAAAATCAGGCACGGAAGGGGTATTTACTCCATGGAAAACTGCAAACATGACAACCCCTCTTTCTGACATTGCCAGCTTGTTAACATTGATCCACAGACACTACCTATAATGTTAATCACCACGGCTTGGCAACAGCTAAGGAACATGAGCTGGCCAATCTTTTGGGTCAGAATAAAGATCTATAAGTTAAAAATCATGATACAAATGTAAGGAAGAAAAGTAATTATGATTTATTGTGCCAGTAATTAAAGTGTAACTATAATGTGTAGTCGAAGCACAAAGTACTTTCCACAGTCTTTCATTTTATGAGAGATATTCTCAAATTCCATATACAGATAAGTCAACTGAGGTTCTGAGAGGTTGGGTAACTACTAAAAAGCACAAGAGCTAGAGTCAGGCCCAGGAATGTCTGACTTAAAAATATATGATCTTTCCACTAAGCTACCCCATATACTAACATTATTATTATCATAATGTAACCAAAATCAACCACATGTAACTGTAAGATAATTAGCAAACATTAGTAATAGCCTCTGATGTATGTAAAAGTGGCACACATGAAGAGGGATATGGAGAAGATGAAGATAAAGAACTCAATTTTAATTAGATTCACCAAATTCATTCATATTTACTTCAAAATATACCCACAAAAAATACCTGAGAAATGGAGCACAAGGAAACCACTAGGACCAAAAATATCTGCATATCAGAAGGGTTATTCCAAGCTTAATTTAAATTCTGACCATGTGCAGGGAATTCGCTTTTAATTCTTCAAATACTTATGCCCTGTCCACCAAATTGACATACTCAAAATGACACACTCTCTCAAGAAAGAATCATGCAAAAATAAGACTTAATTAAGTTAGCATCAATTGTTTAAAGTGTTTGGATATTTACTTTATAAAATAGTTTTTCTTTTGCACTCAAGTTATTTGACTATGCTATCCTTTTACCATGGCTCCTTAAAGAAAATTTACCCAGTAGTTAAAAGAATTCCAAAGGCCAACAAACATTAACTTACGGATTATTTAAAAACAGTCTTGTCATCTTGGCTTCCTATAAGCTACCAGCTTTTCCCATTGTTCCAGTACAGTTCCATCACCTGTTATAAGAAGAAATAATTAATTAGTTATATGTCTCAGAAAGGCCATTTTTGGATTTCCAATAGTCTCTTTTTTACAACCAAAACACATAGAAAATTACAGTGATCACTTCTCTTTTTTACCAAAAACAAAAAGGAAAGAGAAAATAACAATACACAAAATCGCCTTAAGAGAAAAAAATTTTAAGAGCAGTATTTCCACTATGAAGGACTCAGGTGGTGAACTCTTAAAATTTTGCCCTCCATTTTGTTTTCAGGAAGAGATACCTAGTCAGTTTCCTAGGACGCAACAGTATTAGAGTAACCCATTTTTCTCTCTCTATCTCTCTTCCCTAACCCCTTCTTACCTCTCCTCAAAAGTGAAAGACGAATGTGCCTGGAAGAACTGGATAAGGCACCAACTGATTTCCTGGCCTTGCTCTGAGCCAGGCAACCAAGGCCTCCCTTCAGTCCTCTCCCACACCTGGAGCCAGCTAATCTCCTCAGTAGGCAAGAGAGTGGTGCCTACTTCTGAGAGGGTGGGTCAGCTCTCCCGGTTCTAGCTTCTCTCTGGCTGCTACTGCAGGGTTAAGTCAGGGTTTCTGGGGTCAAATACATGTTTTAGTTTCAAAGGAGGAAACTAATACGATTGGGCCCTCCAACCCTGCTTTAACAGCAATTAAGCTGCTGGCTCTGTTGATTCCCACGTCAATCCTTGCTCTATTTCTCCAACTGTTTCAAACTTACAGGATGGTAAAGTTGTGTAATCAAGCAACCCAAACCACCACCATCTATCAAAAGGCACTACACATAGACAAAAAACTGTGGCCCAAAATCCTAACACTTACTAGTTATGCAACCTCACGAAAATCCATTCATCTTTTCCCAGCCTCATTTTCTTCATCTCTAGAAGATCATAAGTCTCTTAACAATACTGTGTGGTAATGAGGATTTAATAAAAGTCATAAACTGTCAAAGTCATGCATGCTTTGATCCAACAAAGGCATTATACCAGAACTATGGATACCAAATGCTTAATGATCAGAATTGCTATGCTATCCATATGTCCAATTCAACAAATAATGGAGATTCATATAATTCACAGAATAATAAAATATGCCCAGCAAAGGGCCTTTCTTTTTCCAAGAGAAGTCATTCAGAACAATGTGTTTACTTTTGTTTTTCCATTTTTTAGCATTTTAGAATAAGCAACCTGGGAATAGAACTTTTTGCTTTCTTTCCCTCCAGAGAAGAGTCCCAAATAAAAATACCTGACTTTTCCAGGTAGAATGCAACTATTGCTCATATTATGTGATAAACATGTGGCTCCAAGAAGATGACATTGATAAAACAGGAACCTAAGTTAACTTTAATCACCTGAAGCCTCAATCTTAATTCTGAGATGAGATTAATAATTGTAACATGGCTCCATGCATGCACTGAGGTACCATGAGAGGCAGTGTCACCTCAGTTACCTGAACAATAGAACGGAACCTTAAGTTATCCAAACCATAAAGGGATAGGGCAGTGGTAAGGATATTAAGAAAGGAGATGGAACAAACACAAAATAAATATAGAAAGCTTTCCTAGTAATAAAGAAAGAACTTGCCAGCATCAATAAAAATAGTAAGGAAGAACTGAAGAGCCAAAGATCTATAGATTATATTCAACACTGAGAGGAACAAATTCATTGGCTAGCTATGGCTTTATATGCCTAGCCACTGACATGAGACCCTTTAAAAGCATGAGATACATGGTAAGGTTTTACATAGGTTGAAAATAAACAGGTTTGAACACCAGCTGTGCTGGTTTAATAGCAGTGTGATCTCCACCAAGTAATTTACTCCTTCTAAGGCTCAGTTATGTTTAAAAAAAAAAAGATTCACCAGGTGAACACATACCAACTTTAAAACAGAAGTGCCAGAACTTAATGTTGAAAAACAGTACTCCTTGACCCCTTCCAAGTCACTGTCTTTGGGACTCACTCCAGTGATGCTGACTACTCAGAATAAGTACTCTTTTACCTTCAGAACCAGTGTGCAATGGTCGCAAGAACACATGTGTCATTACAGTTTAGTTTTCCATGATTTTAACAAAAACCACTTTATTTGCTATAATAGAAAATATTTTCAAAGATTACTTCAAAGAATCAAATTCATCCTCAAAGATGATAATTTTATACCACTGTGGTTATTCAAAAGAATTATAAGCAACTTCAACAACCAACTGTACTGAACTACCCATTTGGTGGATGACACTGTGCTGAGCACTGGAAGTGGGGAAGACGTTATAAGGTGATTGAGATGAAATTCATTTAAAATAATCCAGAACACTGGCAGCATCACTGGAATATAAGCAATTAGTTCAGTGGATGCCCTTACAGGAGAACAATCTGGATGTATGAACCCTGGCTGTGATTGTTACAAGCCCAGCACTTCCTAATCACGCTTCACATACAATGTTAAGATTCCACAACAGTCATGTGAAAACCTGGCTAAAACAAATACACTCCTTTTTGAACATTCACTTTTTACTCTAGGGCAAAGCCGAGCCTGCTCCCCTGGGGGCGGAATAAGACTGGCTGGCATCAAAATCAAGAGCATTCAAGAGCTAATGTTAAAATAAGGCTGGAGAAACTGAGGAAAAGTTCTTTTGGCCATGAGACACAGTTGTTTGATTGTTAGCCTCTTGCTCCAAATGAGTTAGTTCACTAAGAAGAATTTGGGCTTCCTCTATGCAAGACAGTGCCCTGTGGTCATTAAAGGTACGTGCTTTGCTGTCATATAGAACTATATTCTGCAACTACGCTCTGAAGACCTTGAGCATGTTGTCTAATTTCTGTAAGCCTCAGTTTCCTTATCTATAGAATGGGAGCAACATCAGTACAATAACTAGATGTTGTTATATGGGTTAAAAGACATACCGTCTATATACAATTTAATAAAGCTCATGGCAAACAGTAAGTGCTCATTAAATGTTGTACCAGTGGGAAAAATACACTATCTTCATCCTTTGGGGGTAATACCAGTACTAATGTGAAGCCACAAAAAAGAGGTATCCCAATATATTCAACAGTGTTCTAGCCCACTTCACTAGGAGACCATGGAAGGGCTTGCGGTGATATTTCATGTAGTAATAAATGGCAAATTATCTGCTCTTACATCTGCGCATGTATATTGGGAGCAAAATGAGAGTGGCAGCAGTATTCAGAGGCTTCTTGGCCAGTGGAAAATTCAGAAATGTTAACACCAGCCACATAAAAACAAAACTGAGTACCTTACTCAAGATTAATTAGCTAATAAATGGCAGAAGCTGAAATTCAAGCCTACACCGTCTAGCTTTAGGCCTTGTTCTTAATCAGTATACTATACTGTGCCCCTGGCAAAGAGGAGGAACAATGGCTAAAGACTAACTAGGACACAGGCCAGAAGAAGGTCATAAAAAAGTAAAAAAAAAAACACCCTACTGATGACTGAAGAAAATAGGAAGATAACACAAGAGTTACTGGGGCAAAAGAGTAAAAGCCACAAAACTTCTAATGATTCTAACCTAAAATTTACCAACACACCTTTAGCAAGACATCCTAAAAGGATGGCAAGGTGAAAGTGAACTGGTTTTATAATCCAGTGCTTGCTTAAAAAGACTAGTAATCAGAAGACACAAAAGCTGAGAAGACCTCATTTTGGTCCTTTATCGAAGCCATGCTATGATGTAGAAACACCTGTCTAGAGCAGAATGCTTCACATACACAAAATGCCTATTGACAAGGAAGGGCTCCAGCAGCATGAGAGTTGCCTCCTAAGGCAGGGTTTCCGGCCACCTTTTCACTGCATTTCAACAGTAAAGAAGAGGAGGAAAAGCCACCAGGGCTTTTGAATTCTCAGTAGGTCAGAAGGAAGGAAAAAAGCAGAAGGGATGAGAAACATACTGCTAGTTAAGTAGGTGAATGGACAGAGAGGAGAGTAAGGATAAAGAGAAGCCATGTTACTGGCCAGTCTCAGATGTGTCAGACTCTAAAGTGGCCCCCTTGATCTCTGTCACTTCTTATCTAGGCCTTGCATAATTCCCTTCCCCTTTGGGGGCAGGTTTTGGACTTGCTTGTGGCAAAAGAATAAGGCAAAAATCACAGAATGTATGTGGATACGTTACACAAGACTGTAATGTCTACTCTGCTACAAGTTTCTCTCTTGCTGGTTTTGAAAGCATAGGCTGCCGTTTTGTGGGTTGCCTACTGAGAGAGCCTCATGAGGGCAATCTCCAGCTGACAGCAAGAAACCAATGCCCTAGTCAGGGAGCCCATGAAAAACTGAATTCTGCCAATCACACAGGCTTGGGAGCAAATCCTCCTCCTACCCAGCCTCAGATAAGACAGCAGCCATAGGTGATACCTTGACTGTGGCCTCATTAAATACCTAGCTAAGTCATTCCCAACCAACAGAAACTGTGAGATAATTCTGTGTATTGATTAAGCTGTTAAGTTTGTGCTAGATTGCTATGTAGCTATAGATAACTACTACAAATGGGAGGTGAAGGTCATGTCCCTGATGACACCACATGTCCTTCTGAGAGACGAAGGGGGAGAAAGAGGAAGCCCCAAGAGCCAGGGTGAGCAATTCTGCCTCTACATTATTATAAACCCTCCAATTCAACTCTCTCGAACTCAGACTCTCGGTTTCCTCCCTTAACACACAGACAGGTCCTCCCATCCTATTGTTGTCATTTGCAGGATATAATGAAACAGTGGCCAAAGAAATAGCAATCGTTTAAATGGTAATCAGGTTCCCTGGCTGGCCTGTAAAAGCTACTCAACATGCCAAACACTGGCACATTTAGAACAGTAAGAGAACTGTGACCATTATATGAGCTATATTATGACCCCATGTGGCATAAAATAATTTTGACAAAGGAATATTTAAAATGTGATAGATTGGACTTAAACACTGAATAAAACATGTTCTAAGAGACATTTTGGAGACTTGTTGGATTAGTGGTTTTGAGAACTGAATAAAAATTAAAACACC